GGCTGCGCGGGGCGCGCCGTGTTTCGCCGCGCTGCCACCGCCGTCCTTCAAGACACACTTTGCACTGTCCGCAGCGAGTACTGTAGGCAGGGGAATAATTTGAAAATGAGGTGTAATTGCTTCCTACGTTAAGTATTTTTAAACGCTTAAGTAGGCTGTGAATTTCCTACATATTAATTGCAACATAATATAACTGTTACTTAATAAATCTCTGTCTAAATCTTTGTACTTGGTAATCAAATCCCATGCCAGGAGACAAGCTATAAAAGACTTAACTGTTACTAGTTGGGAGAGCACAGCTTTTGAAAACGTTGCCATGCAGTGGAAACAAATTTCTAAATGTATCAGAGGATACATTCACTGCCCTGCAATTCGTTTGTTACACTTGTAATTAAATCAAGAAAAAACTACCGTCTCTATTTAGCATGTTACCATTCAAGAGCAGAGTTTTTGGACGTATTTGCTGAAGTTCTGTGACTGGTTTTGGATTCCGTACTAAAGAGTGTTCTGTATCTGCAGTTTGGTGCTGAGAGTAGTTGAATCAGATCCTTTCAAAATCAAGATGTTGAGCGTACATCGAGCAAACGCTTTCAAAAAAGTGAATGAGGCAGAATGGGAAATATTGTAGGCCCCAAACACGAGCAACCAGCTTACTACATGTATCACCTTGCAAACGATGTACAGGCCTTAATGGTATCCTATTTGTTTCCCATTACATTCTTACTATTATCCCACTATTATTCTGTTCGTTTCCTCTTACAAATAATGTGTTACGTAGTATAGCCATTAATGCAAAGGGGAAGATAGAATCAGGTTTAGAATTAGATTTAATATTTAACTTTCCACAGTTTTGTTTAAAAGTGAAACAAATAATGCGTCAGCAATCTTAATAAAAATTATGGAAATACCTTGTCATTATCCTGCTAAGAACAGCTGTACCATGGTGACGTTGTCTTAGGTTCCAGTCTGGGCCTTCTGCGCACGTATAACTTTCAGAAGCGAATGATTCTGCTGACGTATTCACAGGATTTGGCTCTGTTAGAATCAGACTTGCCTTAACAGAATATTGAGGAATAATGTTATATAAACTGGACTATTTTCAGTGCTGATGTTGGAAACTTTTTTTTTTTTTAACTTGTTTCATTCTTTCAATATGTATGCTTTCATCTTCATAATATGTCACTGCTTTACTGTCAGTATCAGTTTCATTTCAAAGTTTCATTCAGCCTAAAAGGTTACCTGGTATGTGTAACTTAAACATACGGGCTATTTAAACATGGAGCAAATTATTATTAATAAAATGGTATTCATTTATCAAAATATATTGTACAGAGATTTTAAAAGAACAAGAAAGCTAAAATGTGATTATCCAAAATGTCATTTTCAGAACTTTGTACACTCAAAAACGATACGGAGGTGATTTCCACCCCTTCCCCTAAAAGTAATAAGTATAAACAGAATTTGGCTTTGGAAATTTCTAATGCATAGACCAGGCTATTCACACAGTATTCAGTCTTGCTTATCAGAGAATTCATTCACACGTACATTATTTGCTTAATGTCTTATAAGTATACTTCCTTGCTAATTTAGAATATATTCAAAGAAAATAAATGTCAAATAAGAATGTGGAAATATGATTTTCTTCAGTTTTTACAAGATTTTTGTAGCTAAAGGAGTTGTTCTAACAAGGTGCAAAATGAAATTCATAAACTGAATTCTTGCAGCATGTAGAACTGACTTACTAGTTTGCTGGTCTCTGAAGCACAGTGAGTCTGGTGACATTCTCTGCCAATTAAGTCTGACCAAAAGCCTCTGACATGTCCCTGGACCTTTACGTAGTCTCTTGCAGAGTCTAGTGCTTTGGATGTAAATAGATGAGCAGGAGACAACAGAGAACATTAGTTCATTTATATGGATCCAGCAAATGGGTATCTGGAGCGGTGGAATACAGGGAAGCCACGGTCATGATTTATGTGCCAGGAGGACTAAAGTGAAATAGGCTCTGTCTCCGGGCTTCAGGGCAAATGCTATTTTCCTCATCTGCTTTGTGCAAAGCTCATTATAGAATTCTGGTCTTAAGAAGGCTGACACCAGAGGTCTCGCAAAGAAGAGAAGTGACTCATCTGTAATACCTACTCCACTTGTAAAACCAAAGTCAGTGGAGCCTACAACAGGAGTAGAGCAGCAGGGAATCGAGCTTGTGGGCTTTACGTAGGCTTTCCAATTACACGACAGGAGTAGAGGGAATGTGCTGTGAGGCACGATAACAAAGGGTTTCATGTGGATGACAGGGAGAACTGCTGTTTATAACTAATATCAGCTACACACTTTAAGCATCAGCAACGTTCAGGAACACAGGTTCACCTCCCAAAGTGTGCAAATAGCTTCAGAGCTAACAGATGCCTGAAGGACTTCTTCCTCCAGCCTCAGTTGTGGAAGATAGTATTTTACTTCTCAAGAAATCCCCTGGAAACTCTCTCTGCATGAAAAAGACTAGAAAAACTGAGCCTAAAGAACAAGGTCTTCTGTACTTTTCAACTATATTTATTTGATCCCTCCTTTTAAACCATGTAACTTTGTTTTAACACACCAGATTCTGTAGCCATTTTTCAGGCAAAATTCTTATCAAACTGACACACTTGCCAGCAGCAACGAAGGCTGATCTCCAACCAGTTCGGAAGGCTGCATTTCACTCCTTACCCCATATATCAGTGAGAACTCTGCCTGGGAAAGGAGGCAGCAAGACTTCATATTTTTGCCTCAGCAATATGTTGTCACACTCATTTAACACAAAGCTGAACTTTTGCATGTAGAACATTTTTTGCTTTAAGTATCATTAATTCTCTGGTGCCTCTGGAGCCTTTGTTTGCAAAGTTGTCATGTATTTGGGGTTCAGGAGTTTGAAAGCTTTGCCTGGCAGACTGATTTTGTACAAAAAGTTCCACAGGAAATCACAGAGATGCCTTGTAAAGTTTCTATTCAGTTTTAATTACCTGATGTCCCACATTGTTGTTTATGTGTAAGCAATTGCATTATATTTTCCCAGTGCACCATTTGCACGCATTTCGCTAGTCAAATAGCTTTGCAAACAGAGCAGCTGTGAATCAGGGAAGCTGAAAAGGAAAATACATTTTTCTGAGCGCGTGACAGTTTTAGGTCGTACACGTTTTGTACAGAGCTCAGTTACATTGCAGTATTTATGCACAGGGGCACATGCAGTGTGGCGTTGGGGGGAAGGCTTCTAAACAAAATTATATTATTAATATAAAAGTATTTTTGTATTAGAGTATTTTATGTGTTAAGCACTTTATACTGACAGCTGCATTAAAAATAACTAACTGAAATCACTGCAGACCTAAAATAAATACAAACTCATTTGTAGTCTGCATTTGAAATGAAAACATATAATAAATATGTATCATATTTAAAATGCACTTTTCAGACACCTCATGCTTGTGACTTTCTGGACTAATGACATGGATGTACAGACTGAAAGAACTACAATTTGCATTTACATGCATGTGAAAAAGCAGAAGATCTGATTTATATGCCCACACGATTTGTTGAGAGGCAGATAGCTTTGGAAATATTTTTTTGCAGAATTATTTGCTATGTGCATTGCAGGAAGCAGATGTGCACATTGCCAAAGGGAGCTGATATTTATTAACCGAAAAAAAGCTGCTAGCTTAGCAAGTGGTTCTTGCAAGTTTTCTCTGGGAAATGATGAGCTGTTCAGAGGACTGATCCTAAACCCACTGCAGTTGCTGAAAATGCTCCTCCGAGTTCAAAGAGGCTTGGGAACATGATTTGTGTGAAGTCTTCCTGTGACATGTTGGGCAGACTCTAAAGCAGCAACTGCTTCACCCCTGTTTCAGTAAAACTTCATCAGCTGTTTGTGGCTTGACTTTTCAGCTTTGCTGGGGTAGCACTCCCTAGTCTTTGGTTACCTTCTGATTAGGAGATCATGAGCCCCATGTGCTTATAGCATAAAAGGGAAGGCTCCATTTTAGTGCAAGTGATTGCAAATAATTGTGGGTGCAATTCTGGACAATTACTTGCACAGAAAATGTAGGCAATGTAAATATTTAAGTTTGTGATCTTTGATTGTAGGTGAACAATGAATTGTATATGTGGTGGGCAAAGCATCTGTAATTGTTTTCATCTGCTATTCTTAGAACCCCCAAGATATGGTAACTCTTCTGAGAGTCAAATGAAAATTTAGTCTTAAATGTCATGACCGATTAAATGACCCTCCTACACAGATTATTTATTGCAAAATTTCACTAGTGAGTTACCTATTTGGCATCCTATATTCTAATTCAGTATTCAGTTAGTCTCCTATCACAGGTCTATGCTAAATTAATTAGTGATAATGGCCCAGACTTTACATTCCACACTCATACCCGGGGGGATGTTGAGGAGAGATGCATATTGGCTTTCTTGCCGTAGTACCTAGCAGAAATCTTAGCCGAGTTCCTGTCTGGTGCAATGGTTCAGACCTTTGCCTGGGACAGTCTAGTTCTGTGTTACGCTGCTCAGGATCTCCAGAGCAGTTCCTGTTATTTAAACACTGTCACCAAAGTGGCTTCCTCGAGGTCTAGGCATCCATGTCATTGCATGTTGTGGGTGAGGGGCATGAGCTGATCCCACTACCTGCACCCGATTCCTCCCCAGGTGATCTGGATGGCACCCCATTCGAACCCCATTTGTGAGACCTGCCTCTTACTGGCCACCTGCTTCCACGGCCAAAACACAGTGCCCTGTCCACCAACCCACATGGCTTCAGGGCACTCCACCCGGATGAAACTAATAAAGAAAGTCAGAGAGGTGAGTGAATGGTATAATGACACTCAGACTGCACTCTGAGCACCCTCTGCTCAAAGGCCCCCAATGGGCCGGGAGCTCCGTTATGACATACAGGACGATGGACTGAAAAGCAAGTGGTGGGAGATTGCTATCACTGCCAAGGAGCAGAGTGTCAGAAGCATGGGAATTAGGTAGGACTCGATCTGTTCAGTCTTCTGGCGCTTGCAGTGAAGTGGAAAATAGACAAAGACTGTATGGTATGTTTGGATTGACGCCTGTTCCGGCAATTCATCAGCTCTTAGGGGTTGCCTATACGCCTAGTCATAATGGTGATGACCACTGAATAACCAATGGACTCTGATTTCACCCTCCTTAACTTGTCAGCCTCCCCGTAATTGCCTCTGCAGCACTGGAGATTCGTTAGACCAAGGGGAACACCATTTGGTTCTTCTTTGGGAGGACAAAGTGGGGGTTTTACTGATTTGACCCTGCGTTTGTGTGACTTGTAGCTGGCAGGATCCCTTTGAGGGATTTCTGTCTGTTATATCTCTTTCCACCAACCTCTGTTTTATTTAAATAGCTCTGTATTTAAATAACTATTAATATATTGTTGAATATATTATATTAAGGATGTATTTTCCATAGAACTTTTTGCTAAGTACCTCATATTTTAAACATCAGCGTAGAAAGAATAAACGTTTATTCCTTTCAGTGTATTCGCTTGCATAAAGTCTCTGCATGACTCCAAATTTGGCCCAAAAAACAAAGGTGAATTATTGTGGAAATCTGTTCTAAAACTATGGTGAGCTGCTGCTAGTTCCTAGTCAGGGGAGTCTGCTCACCTGGCATGGCTTTCTCCCGAGCTTTCCTCTTGTTCTAACAAACACAACCTGTCTGTCCAAGGAACATTCACCCCCTTTCCCTCAGTGCGCTTAGGTTTTAAAGTGACCGCTGTTGGCCTTGACTCATGCCTTTTTATCCTACCTTTCTTTTCCTCCGCTGTTTTTGTAGTGTATTCCTCAGTCTGCTTTTGTCTGTTTAAGTCTTTAAGAAAAGTTTTTAACTCTAGTTTCTGTTGTAGTTTGTTTTGATAGAAATGTAAAATGCCTCTGGCTCCTTTAGGAAAGGATCAGTGAGGGTGTGTAAATTCAAGTTGTTATTATTTCCAAAAGTGGGTTTTTATTTCCCTGAAGAGGCTGAGATTTAAAATTTGATAAGTAAATATAATTAAGAGTGATCCTGATGCATGTTGCAATTATAGTTAAAATATTCAATTGATACTATCTGATTTTTGTGTTATTCAGTGCAGCTGGGGATGCCTATAAGTAAAGGAAACAACTTTTAAGTTAATAAAAAAGTCCATTAAACACAGAGAATGGGATCTGATCATTATTAAGAAAATGAACCTTATTTTAGAAGGAAGTAGTGTGATTGTCTTATACGGTACATTGTAATTGAAGGACTATTGAATTTAGTGAGAGGAAAAATACCGGTAAAGAAAATGGCATCAAAGTAAGAGAGATTCATTGACCAGGGATGGGTAACTAATTAATGTTCCAATCTCAAAGCACTTAAGTACACAAGTAATTCTGTTTTACTCATGACTTCAAATAGAATTGCCAGCATTGCTCTGTATTACAATGAAAAAGGAATCCTGCAACTCCCCATTGTGGAAAATTTTCTTCCCGTTTTCAAAGCCCAGTTTCCTGAGAATCAACACAGCTCCCCTGAGCAACAGACTGAATGTGGGTCTCTTGCCTGCGTGTTAGAATTTTAAAATGTTCTTGATTCGAGTGTTTTGCCACCCTCCAGTGTTTGTGGAAAATGAAGACATGTATTTCCTACCTACCACAAAATGTCCCCCCTTCTGTTCAAAGTCTTTTGGACATTGAAATTATTTAATGAAAATATCTTCATTTTTCAGAATTTGTTCTATTATATTCTGCTTACTGTGAAATTAATGGAAACTGGAAGTAGACAAAATTCATTCATATAAGCATGTAGGCATACTCTGATAATAAGCTATGAAAATACTTTTAGATGACATTTTTACAGGATTATAAAAATCAGCAAAAACTTGTTTGTGGGATCAGCTCCAACTAGGTTATTCACATATGTCTTGTTGTTTTAGCAATTTCATTCTATTTTTCTTAAAAAAATTAATGAAGAGTGTTATCATAACCTGGAAAAATTTACTCAGTGCTCACTTTGGTGTACCTGGATTCTTTAGGTAACTCTAATTTATCTGTGTAGCACGTTAATTCTAACAGAACACTGAGCTGAATGAATATTTGTAGGATCAAGTCATTTTTCCCATTTATGCTGAAGGATTGAATAGCAGCTTCAGAATTTAGCTCTAATTTAGTTAACTGCAATCTCTATCTAAATAGTATTTAATGTTATTTATTTTAAAAGGTTAAAAGAAACATAGGTGTATTAATTACATCTTTAAGTAATGCCATTTTCCTAAATGAGATTTCCATTACATGCTGGCTACTGCTATTTTACTTGGAAAATTTGTTTACTCTTCCCCTGGGATCACAAATGTAGGTTTGATTTATAAATCATATTTAACCTCCAATTAAAAAAAAGGAGATTCAGTATGTTTGCTTCCTTTATATTTGTAGTTTATTTCTGATTGCTCCTAGTCGTGTTACCATAACCTTTTTGACTCATTATACGCACGTCGCTAAGAACATTAGATATCCTCTGGGTGTTTAAGGCAACTTCTGACTGACGGACTAGATCTTCAGCTCTGTTCCCTACTATGCTTTTCCCTTGTCAAGAAAAAAAAAAAGACTTCTCCAGTAGCTACTTTTTGACTGTTTTCAGTACATTTGATGCACATTCAGGATTTCCAGAAATTGTTTAAGCTTTTCATTTTGAAAAATGAGCAGTGAGAGAGTGGCTGTTTGTGGAGCTGCAGTAGCGTTCCTGTAACTAAAGCTGCTGCCAACGCTCCATTTTGCTGGAGAGCTGCTGCTGTCAGCAGCTTCGTTGTGATACCTCCGCAGGTTTGTTTAGTTTGCTTTTGGGGGAAGGCTCTGTGCTGGAGAATCAAGGCAATGCTTGCTGATCCAAGGACAGGAAGGATTCATTACATCCGCGTCAGTGTCAGGGTTGAGAAATACAAATTAAACAGCAACCCATAAGAAGTGTGTTCCTGAAGAATGGACACAGGCAGAGCTTCTGCTGGTTCCAGCAGGGGAACTTGATCTGAGTCATTGTCCAAGCTCATTATTGTTGTTGAATTAGGTAATTTGTTCTTGAAGCCAACGTTGTTTCTCCAGAAACACTTTTTCCATAGAAGTTTAAAATATTTCTACAAAACATCAACTCTAAGAATCTTAATCTATATAATAAAATATTGTAACAACTACAGTTCAATGGTCTAGTGATTCAAATAACTGGAAATAATTCATTCAAAATAATAAGAATCATTTTTCTGGACACTTACTTTAGAGTTAGATTATACAGTGGAGGTGGTATCCACATGTGGGGTCAAATCTGCTCTTGTTTGTACTTGTGTAAACCTGAAATGAGAACATTCGTGTTATTGCAGTTCATAGTAACCAACTAAATTGCAGGTTCATGATTTTAAATGTTATTTCTGAAAAAAAAGGGTGAATCTGGGTCTTTTTCCGAAACATTTCAAAGCCAAATGGGAAGACATCACAGGGACAGGCTTTAATTTTGATACTCAGAGAACACATGTCTAGCAAACAAAAGGAGGAGCAGAAAAAGTAGAGAGTGCGATGAAATCAAACAATATAATATCAATCAATTACCAGACAGAGTTTGATTTCATGCCACAATGTCTGAAAGCAGATTTTACCTCATGTTTTCTATGGTATTAACATGGCCAAGGCAGAAAAAAAATCTGGCAGTCTGTTGTCAGACATGGATTGTTTGGGAAGTTTGTTCGGAAGGTTTGTACCTTGTTTCCTCTTAAAATGCAGGAGAGAGGCTGAAGCTACTACACCAGTGTTACCCTCATAGCAGAAGTCAGTGGGTATGTGGGGGGTTATCTCCGGCTTGAAGAGGAACTGTTTTGACTTTTAGGAGAGTGAAAAGCTAATGGAAATTATTTGTTCCAAAGACAGTCCCACGTACGCTTGGTTCTAGACTTGCTTTCCATCCTCCCCACAAGAAGAGGATGGAAAGAAAGTTTCCTCCAAGAAATCCCCAACTCTACCCTCCCAACCCCAAACAGATTGAAAACAACAATTACACCAAAAGCCCCTACTTAGGAGTTTAACTAAAGCTGTCAAAAACTAACAACTCAGTTAAAACTACCTGAGTCTTCACTGTTGAAAATAGATGTAGCCCCTTTGTTTCTGCAGCATGATTTTGTATCACATAAAGTGGGATTTCTGTCCCCTTGGCTTTGAATTCTGGCCTGGATATTCCTTTCCCAGTAGAGTGGCACCAGACAAAACTTGTATGCCCGACCAGACTAGTATTGTTTTGCAGGTAGCTTTGTGAAGACACGTTGAACTAAATTTACAAATCACTGGAAGGTCATGTTTCCTAGATTTAGAACACAACTCTGAAATTTGGAAATACTTTTTCCATCGGTTGTTTTAAAACATTGATAGAGGTAGCAATTCAAAGCAAATATTGCCCTCTGGTCTTTGTAGAAACTGGACAGTAAGTACTTTCAGACAGAAACCTTATCTTTTGCACAGCAGAGGCTCTCATTCAGTTAGAACTACATGTTTGTTTGTTTATTTTAAACATTAAATTTCCCTCAAAAAGTTATCACTTAAATTAAGAAAAAAAATATTTACAAAACTTAAAAACAAAGTTCAAGAAACTCTACACTTAAAACAAGTTCTAAGGACTTTGAAAATCCATAAACACCAAGAGATTCTCGTGCTCTAATTGTGAATGTTTAGATTTTGGTGTTCATTTCCTCCGAAATACTGCAGGAGGAATTATTCATCCAGTATATACATGAACATGGAATTTAAGCCCTTCCATTTATTTTAAGTGAATGTCATGTTTGTAAAAAGTGTCAGATTGACAGGCAAGATTCAGCCTCTCTGATAACCTAAACATTGTGCCCAAAGCTATCCAGAAGTAAAAACTCTAGCAGCTAAAATTATTGGGTCAAATCCTTCACTGGTAAAAATCAGACTACTGAGTTTATTTCTGTAACTATTTCCTTAGCTTTGAATTCTGGCCACAGAAGGCCTCTGACTACTGTGCTGGTAGGGCTCAAACATCCTCTGAAGCAGAAGCATGCTCTGTGCCAGGCCTGTCCCTATACAGCCCAGTGCCACCTGCTTTGCTGAAGTTGCTCATTGGAATTCAAATCATCGTGGTTTCGCGTGGTAAAGCTTGGGAGTTCTTATTTAAGGAACTAAAATAAGACCAAATTCATTTAATTGGTGAGGCAGAGACAATAGCTTTCATGCATTGGTGGCTTAGGACAGATCAGAGCTGGTGGTCACTGCGAAATGGCTCCACATCCTTTCCATAGTAGTTAGGGCAAGATCTTTATTGCATTCAAAATAGTTAGATGCTATGAAAACACCAGTTATCACAGTTGTACTTTAAGGAAGCAGGGTGGTGGGAAAAAAAGGATTGTTCTGATCATTACAAATCAGGAAATGAATTTTTTACATTATGCTTTTCCAAAAGCTAGTGAATCTTTAGCCAAATCTCATCTGTTTTGCAAATAACAACTCAAGCAGTACATTCCGTATAATTCAGTAATAAACTATGACTTCTCCAGTAATTACAGTCCAGAGCCTTTTATTTTATTTACTGACACAAGATCATACATTTTTGGACATAAATATGTATCAATACATCAATATGTATTGATAATATGACTTGTTAACGTGAGCTGTTCAGGAAACCATGCCAGCCATGCAAAGTGGTCAGCCTTGCAGCTCTGATCTAGGAGAAATACCTAGCAGCTTTGGCTGTATGAACTGCTGGAGGCCAGGACACGGGCTCAAGCACTGTTGCACCGGTGTCCAGGTGATGTGTTAGCACATTCCCTGGAGCAGTCCTGGCCTGTGTCCATGCATGAGTCACTGTGCAGGCATGCATCTAGGGTGAATACAGCCCAGGAACCCTCCCACCAGGTTGCATGGACAAGGTGGAAGGGAGGTTGGCCATAGGGCTGGGCCTGGTGTGAGCTTACTCATCCTCAGGGCAAAAGAATTGGCCCTGGTCTGTTTCATTTACTTGTACAGACACAGCCATCAGCTCCAGTGACTTCTTTGCCTGGACACAGAATTTAGCATCGGACATAACAGGAAATCATTTCTGAGGACCAAAAGCTGTCTCTTTCACAGAGAGCACTACCCATATACTTTTGTCAAAGGGGGGTAGCTTGGCAACGTTATTGCATCAAGCAGTGATTTTGACTTGGCATGAAGCAGCGTGATGAGTGTCTTTGAAGGATTCATTCATAGTCTAAGCACTTACTCTTTCCTCAAATGAGATGTTCTTTCCTCAAATGAGATGTTAGAGCATCTGCCCTTTCCAAAGAGCTCTAAGAGGAAGCACCAGTAGTTGGAGAGCATTCGACTGCCAGCACATACAGTACAGCATATGGGAAACATTTTCTTTCCTTTCCTGTAGCAAACAAGGAGTCTGGCTCTTCCTAGAGCTACATGTGGTGGAGGGCAAGCAGTGACAATTGAGGAGGCTGGGGGAGAATGCGCCTCCTCTTCAGATGAAGGAGGATCCTTGCAAAAGGTAGCACAGGCAAAGGCTCACTGCACATGACCGTTCATGCTGAAGGATCCTACTTAAAACAGGGCTTCCAGGCAGAGCCTTGTGCCTGCCACTGGTGCCACACGGTACCAGTCTGCTTGGAGTGGGTGAGAGGTTTATTGGACCCCTGAGCAAGCCTGGTGGAGCAGGCTGTCCTTGCAGAGGCCAAACATCCTCTTCCGAGCATCAGGGGGTGGAGGTCTGAGTGCCTGTGCTGCCCCGCTGCCCTGCGCTGTCACATGGCCACGAGGCGCCCTCAAGGCTCTTCCCCTGTCTTTTCTCCTTGAAGCACCCGTGGAAGCTTTCTGCAGCTCTCCTCCTTGCAGGATCAGCTTGGCTTGTGGCTCTTGATGTCCCAGTGTTAAACCTGACTCTAATGGCTCTATTGCCTTTGTGAAAAGCTTTTTGTTGCTGTTAGGAAAATTGGAGAGGTGCTCTTTTTTTTTTTTTTTTAACTTCACATTGTGCCGAAGAGTACTTTACACATTGGTAGAGGCTTGGAGAATAGCAACTTTTTAGGACTTGTAACACTGTGGGGTTTTAGTTTTTGGTAGATTCAATTAAATAATTTTTATTGTGATTTAAGAAGTGTATTAATTTACAGTGCAATTACTTGAGGGTTTGTATTAATTAGTACTATTGCAAACTGATATTCAAGGCTGAGGCTAAACTGTAATTCTGAGACACAGTAGGGGATGTGTAATTGCAGTTGAAGGTCAGGTCACATATTTGGATTTTCAAAAGAATAAGGCAAGTTCACTTCAACAAAGTGTTTATGGATTTGGAAGGACAATTATGTTGCTGGTGCAGCTGTATGTTTTGTATTAATTAATACACTCATTTGAGGCTTACAGCTGGAATCCCCTCACTGTCTCCTGCTGTTTTAGATTGCTGTACACATTTATATTGATTCCAGTGGGATTACTGTTTGTTTTCCCAAGTGGCAATGAGAGGATAATCCAGCCACTGGAACTGTGAGTTACACTGGTAGGAAACACATGAGCCTGTAAGCAGGCCAGTGCAGTTTATGGAGACATATATTTGAAATTTAGGCAGGTGAAATCCAGATAGGAACTGAACAAGTGAAATATGTTAACATTATGTGACGTTTTAGCAGAAACCAAAGTCTGTTTCCTTTTTCAACTCTGCACCACATAGACTGGGTCCAGTTTCACCAGGTGATTAGGTGTCTCTAGGAAAAATGGCAGACACTACGTGATTTGCTGAATTGACACCTGTTCCTTCGTACTCAGATAGAAAACCTTCTTTCTGGGGAAAAAAAAGTCACCACATATCCTAAAACATAAACACTACACAAATCAAAACTGGAGCAAGATAAATGATCTTGTTTTGTGCCTGTTCTGCTGAAGAAGTATTTACAGGGGGTGAAACAAACCACAGAACTTTTTTATTTAAATAAGGAGTCATTCATTGTGAAATCCTAGCATGGTAGACTAAAGGACTCTCCCTTCTTTATTTAAATAGAAACCCTTCTCCTTAGCCTACGGAAGGACCTAGGAAAACAGCTTGCAGAAAAGGACCCAGCCCTGTAATTGTTTTGTGCACAGAAGCCCCATTGAAACCAAAAGAAGCTGTGAGCAAAGGACATTTGCAAGGTTATATCCCAAGTATCTAGAAAACAGATTTAAAAAGACATCATCAATAATACTACGATAGTTCTGACTCATGCTCTGAGCACACAGCTGCCAATGAGTTTAAGATGTTCCCAACCCCCAGCTGCTTGTTACCTTTCTGCTCTGAAGCGTGGGGTGGCAGCAGGAGGAGCCGTGTCCTCTCCTGCCCACTCCAGCCCCAAGCAGTGCCCACCCTGCTGGGCCCGGGCTAAGGCACTGGGGTCAGTAAGGTGCCCCATGGCACCCCATCTCCTGCCGCTGTGATGGCCATGGTCACTGCACATGCATCTTAAACTGCCACAGCATCTCCTGCCGTGGCCACCTGCCTCGGCCCAGCTGCAGTGGCCAAAGCCCTATGCAAAATTTGAGAAAGGTGGGTGAGTACTACAGTGCCCCCCACCCTGACACATGGGACTCATTGCCAAAGGGTTGGAGGTGCTCAGAGAAAGAGAGAGAGGCCAAGATCATTACAAATATCTGCAGCAGTTGTCTCGGACATAACGATGAGGTGCAATCATGGGCTCAAGGAGTCACTAAACAGCAGGTTGCTGGAAGGGTCAGGAGTACCTGGGAAAGCTTGGTGGTGCCTCCCAGCTTTTGGTGTATAATCCCCAAGCATCAACTACCTGCCCTGTCAAAGACAGGCTCCTGCGCTAGAATGTCTGCAGGCTGATGCAGGGTAACTGGTCTCAAGATAAGGCACAAAGGGGCCCCGAGGCCATGGAAATCAAGGGCAGTGATCATCAGTGGCTTCCCAGGAGTCCCGCAGTTGGTTGTCACACAGACATCAGTGGCAGCACTCAGCAGAAACCCTCATCCTTTCACTGTGCCCTGGCCTTGGCTCTTGTACAAAAACTCAGCAGTACAGGAAGGCAGTTTCTTCTGCAGCAGATACACTGTGTCTTACTCTCTCAGAAACATTTTTCCCTTTCCTTTCAGGCACCCAGTGGTCTCCCTGCTGTCGGCAGTTTTGTTTCAGCACCAGCCATGCCTCCTTATGCTACACCAGCCCAAGTGTCGCCGTATATGACATACAGCGCTGCCCCTTCTGGCTATATGGCAAGCCATGGCTGGCAACACGCCGGAGGCAACCCACTCTCACCCCACAACTGCGATATCCCCGCGTCGCTGGCTTTCAAGGGCATGCAGGCAGCCAGGGAAGGCAGCCACTCGGTCACAGCCTCGGCGCTCTGATGCAGGAGCCAGCCCAGGACGGCCGCCACACGGCTGTGCGTTCGTCTTCCCCCAGGCCTGGCTCACGGACTGCTCTTTCTTGTGCCGGTGGTGTCCGACATTTCTCCGTGTGACTTTCCTCTCGTAAGACTTTGGGGATTGAAAGGGTTGAAAACAACATCCGAACCTGAGAGAAGTGTGTTGTTGCCCTTGCACTGTTTAAGGAAAGATCTTGCGTCCCTCAAAGGGCTCATGGAACCTTGTTTGACTCTTTTCTGGTAAAACCACATATATTTATTCTTAATCATCACTGACTTTTTAAACGTGCAATTGTTATTAAGATTTGTGTAAAAATCAATAAAGGAAAATCATCACAGAATATTCTGCTGTGCCTCAAATCAGCAAAGGTGACTACACGGAAGGTATTTGCCGATTATCTGTCTAGAGAACAGAGCTTCTATTGACGAGGTTATGCAATCCACTGCTAGTAAAAGATTACTTTTTGGTCTTTTTTTTGTTGAGTTTTTGGTAATCAAATACAGAACCAAAGCATTATGCAGCTCTCAGATTCTTCCGGCATTTCGTCATCATTACAAAGGAAGTAGTATGTTTGTATTTTTATCCGTTTGTAAATATAGGCTTTTGACAGCATTTGTTTTCACTTCCCAGTACATTTCTGCTTTTCTTTTCTTTTTTTCTTTTTCTTTTGGAAGTTAAAAGCTGACTTTCTAGCTGTTCTCTGTGTCTTTGCATTGTGGGGTGATAGCCTCAGATGATGAGGTTTAAGTAGTTTTTTTTTCACCATGTTTTTGTGCCCACCGTGGAGGCTTCAACATCCCATGAAACACAGTTATTTCTTCAGCAGAGGATTCAAAGACAGAAATCCAACTAAGTAACTGTCCCCAGTTATACTGAACCTCCAAGAGTCATGAAACACCACCTCCATGCTAAGTATACAAACAGAAAAGGGTGGTAAATATGTGAACAAAAGTGCAAATTGTAGAGAAAAATGCTATTAGTGTGAAACTCGTGCAGAGATGCGGAACAAAGCCATGTAAGTTAACAAAACCACTGTGAAACAGAATTGTACTGTCATTATTGGCTCACCTGTGTTCAGCATTTTCATCCCCCAAATTATGTTGTAATCCTTTTTTTTTTTCTTTTTAGAAGAAGTTGTCTTTAAATTTTTGCTTTAACTAATGTAAAATGCGGACCTTGGTGAAGTTTAAATTGTTGTTCTGAAGCATTTTCTTCCCTTATAGGTATACTGGTGGTGGTGCTACAAACACAGACATTATTTAATATTAACAAATTCCCTTTCTACATTTCTGTATCCAGTGGCAAGTACTCTGTCCCAGTTATTTTGCTTTAAATTTTCTTGACTTTAATCCCGAGAGAGCTAATATTTTGATCTTTGGAAATTTTCCTGTTTTCCTTGGGCAATAATAAAGTTCTGAATATTATTCTAGAATGCTTTCCACATGCTGTAGGTATGTTCATAATATGAACATAGAAAAAATATCTAAGACTGGTGTGACATTTCATATCCTTCATAGAATATTAATATATTGTGTATTTTTATAGATCTTGTGCAATAACTTAAATTACATCACTAGAGATAATCAAGACAAAGGAGAAAACGTCATTCTTCAAATACTGCTCTATCTGCCTATCATATTAGACATCCATTCAGCGGAAAGGTAAAATACAGTCGTCTCTTTGTGGATTTCCAGCTTTTATCACTGATATCTGTGGGAAATTTTCATAATGATACAAGTAACCAGTACAAACATGCATACTGTATGTCCACTGAAATACAGATGGACTCAACTGGTTGTTGCCACCTTTGCTTTTGGCATTAAAAAAATAGCTAAATGAACAGTACTTCTACAAAGAGCACAGTTATTGTATTATGGCCCTAAGGAAAGAAAGATTTGATCTTGGATCTGATCCTATATTCTTAGTCCTCAGTGTAGCAGAGGAATTCAGCAGCTGTTTAACTTTAAATGAGATGCTTCAACCACTGCTATTCAGTAGAACGCTTTTTAAAGAACCTGTTTGAAACCATTGAATGCAATGAAATGCATGCTCACACAAGTGCATTTTCATGTTGCCATAGTGCTAGTGATGTGACTGGTATTATTCTGCTTTTACGCAGTTGTAGCTGAAATAAGACTAGGGCTCCCCCAGCTTTAATGCCACGCAGAAGAAATTGGTTCAGCTCTACACAAGCTCTCTGCTAAAAAATAAAGTTGGAAAAAAAAGGGGGGGGGAAATCATCCATAAATAAATGATTTAGTTGGCAACTGGATTTTAGCTTTCAGCCTAGCTGTTAGACTGGGTTATAGAATTATTGAATGAGTAAGTCTACTTATTTTTAGCCACATACAACACAAGCAACACATATCAAAGAAAAAAAAAAGAAAAAAGAAGAGAAGCCGTCCAAATTACAGCTTTTTGAGCTCCAAGGATTCACAAGCTTGTAACAAAGTGTGCCTATGTTAAAAGTCTTCAATGTTTTCCTGAGCAATGAGAGCTTATTTCTGGAATAAAAGTCGTCTTTTCTGAGATTCCCATGAGACCTTAGTGTGTTTTGGAAGGATAAGTAGAGAGACAACTGCTTAGCTTGTATGAGTTGTTCGAATTATCTTGTCTTCAGCTAAACTAGGATAATTTATAAAGCGAGGACATGAAATGATGTAATTATTCCTCGGCTGGGAATACGCTATTATGAATCATTTTGTTTTCTGTATGTGTTTGTTCGGGTACTGCTCTCCATGCATCTGCCTGTTGTAAATAACGTCTTACCCCCTGAGTGGGAAGTCAGTGGGGCTGTATGCAGAAAGTGTTTCTCAGAGGAGTAAAGGTGCCTAACCTTGGCCCTTGCTGAACTGCCTGTGTTTGCTTTTTCGTGAATTTTCATACCATTTTTTTTTGTAATGTAAAATTAGCATGCAGAATACTCCTTTGCCCAAGGACTTTCCTTACTGTTTATACTCATGGGTAAACCAAAAGACACAATGTGTTAGTTTATTAGCCATATAACTTTAAGTCACTTTAAAATAACCAAAGGGGAAAAAGGGAATTGTTTTTTTAAAATAATAAGTAAGGGTCAATTTCTACTGTCAGGTACAGAGGTATTAATCTGGAGTGAACCCACAGAGGTGAGTGGAAAAACTCTGAAAATATGCAGTGTACATGAGTGCAGAGTTTAAAGTTTTCTTATTAAAACCTATACTCCATTCCTAGAGTGCCAAATATTTTCAAAGAAATCAGCAATGTCTAATGCTCCCGTTTGTGAGAGCCCCGCTCTTTCCATGGTCCTGGTGCAAAGGGCCTCCAGTGTAAATCTGAATCTGGTCCCATATTACACCAGGACTGAGAGTGGTGCGGGCTAGAAGAGACAAAAAAGGCACTTTCTTGGTTTGTTTTTTAAAACAGTGCTGTGTTTTCTGCTTTCTAATGGTTCCCTTCTTATCAAAGATCAGGCTGAACTATTAACTGAAGAGAAATCATGTTGGTAAGGATGTAAAGCAGAAGGCTATATATGTATATACAGTATGTTTAAAGCCTTTTATTTTTATATTTTGAATGTTCTAAATTAATAAAAGACTAATTATGAAGTATTTTGCTTTTCATTTTCAAAATGATCTCAGTAGTCTCTCCTCTTTGGGTAAGTACTGATAATGAAATACAACATGAAGGAACATCTGCCTGAAAATTATAAACTGTAACAGAGAGAATTTTCCTGATTTTAGCAATGAAGTAGCACAGGTATGAGAAGTTGCTGGGGTCAAATTTAGACAAGAGAGATGTTTATTGAGCAAGTCAGTACAAGCATCCTTTGAAAGCGCTGAGAATGCATTTCAGTTTTTAGTTTTTTCTTGCTTTTCTAATGCATCAAAAAAAAACCCACTCTGGAGCCCAGACTTCATATGTGAACTGTCATTTTAAAGTAATAACCTCTAAAGATATTTCTTCAGGATTGCTAAGAGAAACATTTGTAACTGCATATGAGGAAAAGCATGTAAATTTAACCTTGTGAACACAGTGTCTGTGGTGATATAGCAACTTCCAGCAATTGCAAGATACGTATATATTTGGCAACAAAACAGTTTCAGATAAAGGGAACTTTTTATGACAGAATAATGGATAATTTTAAATTATTAAAAATTTCTTGAAAAGCAACTGAAGAGTGGCGCTACTGCATGAAATGAAACTTCGTCTTCAATTAGCATAACAGAATTATCTTATGCCATATTTCACAGAGCTAGTGAGAACAGCTAATATGGATAGGACTACATCACTGAAATATTATTTTATATTTACAGTGACTGGGAAAGATGTCAATTTTAGCTTTATGGCAACATTTATTATCTATAGAAAGGGACATCTCTTTAAGGTGTACGGCTAGCTAATTAAGACTGCATATGTGGTATCAGTCAAGAACATTGTTTCTCCACCTCAAAGGGTTCATGAAAGGCAGAAGGGCCAATCAAGAAGCATTGAGCATTTTTATTACAGGACAGCTCTTTAAGCAGTAAGATGTGAAGGTGGATTAAAAAATTCACAGTGAGGCCCAACATGCCTAAAATGATTCCTTTTCTGTTCATTTATATACTCAATTCTTCTGTGATTCCCACAGTCATTCTGCACTTTTATGCAACTTAGCTCAAATTAATTATGTTCACTATCTTCTGTGACCTGAGTAAGATTCATACTGTATATATGACTATGAATAAGCAGAACATTTAACAGTATGATTCTTTTTAAGGCTGTAGCTGGTTCTGCAATTCTTTCTCTGTCCTAACTCCTAACAACTTAAAAAGCTGTTCTATCAGTGCTGAAATTGTAAGGCTGGACCAAAGCTTGACACAAGATCTTGGAGAGCATGGGTCAGGTTCTCAACCTGGAGTCAACAGAGCTGGCAATTTACGGTAGCTTAGCATCTGGTCCCACATCATTATTACAGTTTTCTTCTTCAAAATCTTCAGAAAGTCATTTATCTTGCCATTTAAAGA